TTAATCAGTAGTGAATATTGGAATTCTGGCAACTGTTTTTTTTCATTATCCATTGAGATGATCATAACTTTTTTTTACTATGTTAACGTGGTAAATTATCATTTTTTTCTAATATTAACCCTACCTTGATTCCCTAGCATAAAAACTACTTTTGATCATGGTGTATTGTATTTTTTATATATCACTGGATTCAATTTTACTAACATTTCGTTGAGAATTTTTGCATATATGTTCATGAGGGATATTGGCTTATAGTTATATTTCCTTGTAATATAATTATCTGGTTTAGTTGTCTGGACAATTCTAATGTCATGGGGTGACTTGGAAAGTATTTCCTCATCTTCAATTTTCTGGAAGATTTTGCATAGAATTGGTGTTATGTCATCCTTAGATGTTTGACAGAATTGCCAGTAAAGCCATCTCAACCTAGAGGTTTTTATGGAGGGATGATTTTAAGTAAAACTTTCATTATTTAATAATCATAGGGTTTTCTTTTATCCTAATATATGTATTTAGTGCTATAAATTTCCCCCTATGTACTTCTTTTGCCACATTCCGCAAATTATCATATGTTGAATTTTCACTTTCACTCACTTCAGAGTACCTTCTAATTTCCCTTTTGATTTCTTTTCGGCCATGGGTTACTTAGACATGTGTTATTTTGTACTAATTTAAATATTTGAGGATTTTGCAGAGATCTTTCTGTTATTGGTTTCTCATTTAACTCCATTGTGCTTAGAAAACATAGGTTTTATTATTTGAATCCTGTTAACATTACTGAGATTAATTTTATTGCTCTGAATATGGACTACCTTGGTAAATGTTCCACGTGCATGTGAAACAAACATATAAACTACTGTTATTGGTGGTAAGTTTTATGCTGTTGTTCAAGTCTTATAGACACTTGCTGAGTTTCCATTTTATCAAATTTTTAGAGAAGGTTTTGAAATCCCTGTAACTGAATTTGTCTATTCCTCCTTGCAGTTCTATGTTTTTGTTTCATGTATTTTGAAGCACTGTAGTACAAGAATGCTTAGAATTGTTATGTCCTCTTGATATATATGCCACTTAAAATTATATAATGACCTCCTTTATTCCTTATATTATTCTTGGCTCTGAAATTTATTGTATCTGATATCAATACAGTCATTCAAGCATCGTTTTGATTTGTAATAAAATTATTCATCTTTTCCATCCTTTTACTTGTAAACAATTTGTATCTTTAAATTCAAAATAAGGTTCCTATAGGCAGCATATATTTGTGAGTTTCTTTTTTTCACACTTATTATTATTATTATTATACTTTAAGTTCTGGGGTACATGTGCAAAATGTGTAGTTTTGTTACGTAGGTATACACGCGCTATGTTGGTTTGCTGCACCCATCAACCTGTCACCTACATTAGGTATTTCTCCTAATGCTATCCCTCCCCAAGCCCTATAAAGACACATGCACACTTATGTTTATTGTGGCACTATTCACAATAGCAAAGACTTGGAACCAATCCAAATGTCCATCAATGATAGACTGGATAAAGAAAATGTGGCACACATACACCATGGAACACTATGCAGCCATAAAAAAGAATGAGTTCATGTCCTTTGCAGGGACATGGATGAAGCTGGAAACCATCATTCTCAGCAAACTATCACAAGAACAGAAAACCAAACACTGCATGTTCTCACTCATAAGTGGGAGTTGAACAAGGAGAACACATGGACACATGGAGGTGAGTTTCTTTTCTATTCAATCTGACCATCTCTGCTTTATGATTGAGGTGTTTAAACCACTTACATTAATGTGATTATTGATATTTAAGTCAAACATCTTGTTATCTTGTTTTCATTTGTCCTGTCCTTTGTTCTCTTTTTTTGAATTTCTTTCAATTATTTTGAGGATTCCATTTTACCTCATATGTTGGCTTATTAGTTATAACTTTACTGGTTGATTTAAGGTTTATAGTAAACACCTGTAATGTACCAGAATCTACAGTCAAGTGATATTAATATATAGAATAAGAACCTTAAAACTGTGTACTTTCATTTTTCTTCTTCTGGTCTTTGTGTTATTATTTCCCCCCTCTTCTGGCTTTTGTGCTAAAACATACATTTTAATTCTAATATCCAGTAAGTCAGAGACAATCATAAGGCTCATGTTACTTATTTACCCTCTCTCAGATAACTTTGCCCTCCACTCTCTGATAGATGATAAGTGACTGAAAAGTGTTGTTTCATATATTCTGTCCAAGTTTTAGTTGTTTCAGTTAGGGAGGTAAATCCAGTCCCTGTTACTCCATTTTCATTGAAAGCATAAATGTGGATTAGTGTTTTAAATGACGGTTAATCATGAAGGCTTTATTTTACTTCTAACCAAAGCACGCTTCCTATGCTATCTAGAATTCCTGGAAGAGTCCAGTGTCTGTGTCCCTTCTTGCCCTATCCTGGACTAGAATGTTCAAACTGCAGCACTTCCTTTGGTCATACAATAGCCTTTAAGTTTACTTTCTACATTTCCTTCAACGGACTTGAAATTTTTAAGAAAAAAAAACAGTAACTGTTTTATTAGAAAGTTATGAGATATTATCCACATTATCTCAATTTTGTTAGAAATACGTAAGGATCCAAAAATGTATTGTTACTATTTGCTGAATATCACTAAATCTATATTTCTTTTGTTCAGTTTTTCATTCATTCATTCAACAAGTATTTACTGGATGTACATGATGTGCTAAACCCAAATGGTCTAACCCATATCTACATCTCAAACATCCTTTTTGAACATCCTTTTTCTTTGAGAACCAAGGCACACTCTCTAAGCTCCCTGTCTGCTCTTTGTCAGAATTTGTAGGCTTTTATGGGAAGAATTTACACATTTTGTGAAGAATGGCCACAGTAAAGGAGAAAAGGAGGCTCACCAAATAACGTATAGAAATGATATATAGGCGATGCCTTAGGAACCTTAGACATAGCTGCTCCCCTTGAGGGAATGTTATGCTCTGCTCTCTGTTGCCTTTTGCTCACTTTCTGCTAGTTGCTGGTAGTTGCTTGAGCATTTTATATGGAGCCTGATCACTCACATGCTACTGCCTCAACTGCCCCTTCAGACAGAAACACTCTGTGAAGAGCCAAGAGAAACTGGTTAGCAGAAGACTCTCTTCATAGAGTAGAATCTCAAACTCAACTTTCTCTGAGAAACTGACAGGCAACTTCAATCTGCCTAGACATAGAAGAGATATGCATTTTCTATCATGGATATGATATCAGTTCACACATGAATTTAATTTCTCCTCATGAACACTTTTTTTCTTCCATTGAAGCTGGTGCCAACACTGACAATCAAAAGTAAAAAGTCTGGTAGGACATAAGCCTCTCTGTTTATCAATTTTCCTGACCTTTCAACTCTAGCCTCTCTATAATCTTCTGTCTTGTGTCTTAAGCGCCTGCAGAAGGAGAAAGAGCTTTGAAATTACTTAGGCATCTGATTCATGTCTGGGGTTTGTGATGTTATGTGACATTTTCATCTGCCTATCCACTTTTCCCCTTTGGTTTCACAAGTTCCATTGCAATGTTATATTCTAGAACAGGAGTGGCAAACTTTTTCTGTTAGGACCAGATAAAAAATATGTAGTCATTGTAAGCTAGCTATACTATCTCTTTCACAACTACTCAACTCTGCCACTGTAGTACAAAAATAGCCATAGATAACATGTAAATGAATAAGCAGGCCATTGTTCCAATAAAAATTTATGGACACCAAAACTTGTATTTCATAGTTTTGGTGTAATATCCTCAAGTTTTTCAACCTTTAAAAATGTAAACATCATTCTTATAAGCCAAATAATAGGCAGTGGGCCAGATTTGGGTTATTTGCCAACCCCTGTTCTGGAATCCTGACTTTAAGTTTATGAGACTGTCCTCATACATAAAATGTGTGTATTTCATCTAATTAGCACAAATTGACGGGGATTTTATTTCCCTAGTTCTGCTGGGACACTTAACCCCAATTGTCTTCCCATAGACTTCTCATAAAGATCTCATTTGTGTATCCATTGATTCACTAAGTGATTTCCTGATGTCCAACTCCATATAGATAACAAAATTCTGTACATTCATGGATTTCAGGTGAATGTGAGCTGGTATGAGGTGGGACTATCTCAGATTGAAAGTGGGCTGTGCTTCCTCACACATCTTACATAGTCTGCTATACTGAGGAGGAGGTTTCCTGGGACAGAACTACCTGTAAGGAAAGAACTAGACAATGTTTTTCCATGAAACAAAGCAGGGAGAGGGGATTTGTTCACTCTTTTGTAGAGTAGAGCAAGGATTCAATCCACTGGAAATTCCAGAGAAATTGGTGGGACTTTCTCACTTTGAGGATTCCTGAACATCTGCAGTGGAAGGAGCCAGTGTAGGGAGCAAAACCTAGAAAACAGAGTAATACCCAGGGGAGATGATGAGAATAGAGCACAGCAGCAGAGGAATGAAAGTACCTACTCCTTAGCCCACTGGACTTGTGAATATAGGGAAGACCTCACCTTGGAGATTTCCTCTAATAACAGAAGGGAATATCTAAAGGGTTGGGTCATGCATGTCAGTAAGAACAAGAACTTGGGAGAAAGCTTACAACCTCATTACCTTTTCTGGTCCATACAATAAGCCTGGGAGGTGATTGTCTTCATCTTACTGATAAATATTATGATCTTCAAAGAGATGTCTCTCTTAAACATTTCTAAAAAGAGATCCCAGAAGCAAGTTAAAATTGAGATTCTGTCACAAGTGTTTATTAAGTGCTCACATTGCTTTTATAAGGTGGTCACATTGCTTTTTATAAGTAATACGTGTTCCATTTTAAAAAATAAGAAATTATGGATAAGCAAGAATAAACTCCCTCTTAATTCTACCACAAAGATAAACACGATTTTCTATATATGTGTATATATGTGTACATATATGACTGTTTATGTTCATATTTAAGATTTAAAGTAAAAAAGAATGCAGAGAATGGTTTTTAAAACTGTTTTATTAACTTCACAATATATAATGAGCATCTTTCCATGCAGTAGGTAAAACTCCCCTGCTGACAGAAACTTACAAACTGGGTCAAAACAACATTCAGTTTGAAGCTGGTAATAGGAGACCCACAAGAAATAGGTAACATCAAAAGGTTTACGACAAAGGTACACCACAAATGTGTAAGTTTAGGAAGCTGGGGTCTCCCTATTAACTTCAGGGAAACCATCAGGATTCAGGGCATAAGGCAAAACTCATCGTGATGGTCATGGTGAGGGGGGTCAGTGCTGACTGCCCGCAGACTATGACTCAACTGTTTTTCCCTCAGCTTTTCCATCAGCTGTCTCACCTCCTCCCCAATCCTTTCCATATTCTCCTCTCTCACCCTTGCCTGTGGCTCTCCAAGCCTATGCATTATGTCCCATCTATACTGCAGGGTGGGCTGCCTAACACCGAACCGTCTACGATTTCCTCTAGGCACACAGTATTCACCAACATTCAAAGGGAGGGCCAAGGGCTCCCCTTTATTAGCAACTTGCTCCTTTTCATCTTTTTCATCATTTTCCTGGTTGACATTTTCCACGTTGAGACTGTTTAACGCTCGTTCCTCTTTGGACTCCATTACTCCTAGGAGACAGAGAGAAAATGGACTCAATTCTTGGTGAACTGATCAGCACCGAGGACAGAGGCCCAACTACCCACCTTTCAAAATTCAGAGCCCTGGATTTCAAAGGCCTTTTTTAAATTTCATTTTTTTTCCCACCAGAGAGGCCCCGTGTACCCTCGGGGTGGGGGGGGCAGTCCGCGCCCCTCTCTCCCGCAAAGCCCACCATCTTCTCTGCAGATCCATCTCCAGGCCTCTGCAGGCGCCAAAATGGAGGACGAAGAAGGGGTGGGGGTGGGGTATTGCGAAGCGTAGCAGTGAAGGCACCGACTGGGGTCCCAGACTGGGCTTTCGTCATGTTCTGACCCCCGCCCCGCCACCGTCCCTCGCACCGACCTGGGCCTATCCTTGCAGTCTCCTCCTCCTCCCGATTCTCGACGTGAGGTGCGTCGCCTCGACACTTAGCCTCGCAGACCTGCAGACGGCCGGGGTGGGAAGAGTGGAGGCTGCTGCAGCGGAACACTAGCGAGGACCCGCCGCCACCCGGCCCCTTCCCCGCGCCGGCCCGGGCCCTCCTCGCCGCCCTCTCCCCGCGCCTCAGCCGCCCCGCCCCCCAAGCTGACCACCATTTTCTGCATCAAGAAGGGCGGAGCAGGGATCTCAGAAAAGATTGCGCTGGTGGCGGAGGCAGGTGCTTCAGAAGGGCCGTAGCCTCAGGACCGCCGGCTCCCGCGGGGCCAGGCACTCCTCCGCTCACTAAAGGCTCGCGGTCCCACGGCGGGGCCCCGGGGCTGCATCGTGCACCGGCTGCGTCTCAGCGCGGCTCCTCGGGGGTGGGGCATCCGCAGGCCGGGGCCGCTCCCCCACACCAACCCCAGGGACCCCCTCCGTCTCCCTTACCTGCTCCCCCTCCGCTTCCTGCTTTCGGGGCCGCACCTGGCCCGCACGTCCTCAGGGCCACCGGGAACAGGTACCACAGCCGAGAAAGGAGCGAGCGACGGCGGCTCTGATGCCAGAGCGAGGCAAGACTCAGTGTTGGCCGATCACGTGGGGCTGTTGTCATCGCCAGCGGCTCCGCCCCCGTCCCACGCCCCCTCCTGCAGCCTGGAGTCAGGTGGGACTTTCGGGCCCGCCCCCATCCTCACCGTGAGTCCCTTTTAACATCCCCAGCCTGGGCTCTGCCACTCTCCCTTCTCTTGTGTATTCTTGAGACTTCCCTTACCTGCCCAGGAAGGACGGAAGGCATCTTCTCAGGGAGCTGTTGGCCATTCCCACTTCTCTGGGGACTTGCCTCTCTCTGCCCTTGGCTCCCAGGATTCACCTCCTTCTGCCTGTTAATTAATTTTTGACAAAGATGTCAAAGTAATTCGATATGGAAAGTATAGTCTTTTAAACAAACGGTGCTGAAATAACAGAATTCTTAAAGGAAAAACAGGAGCCTTGCCTTTTTATCTATACTATACACAAATTAATTCAAAATGGATCATAAACCTAAATGTAAAAACTCAAATTAGAAAACTTCTAGAATAAAACATAGAGAAAAACTTTATAATCTTTGAGAAAACAATCCCTTAGGACAGAAAAAGAACAGATCACACAAAAAAAATGAGAAATTGGATTTATCAAAATTAAAAACTACCATTTAAACCACATGGTTAAGAAAATGAAGTGAGAAGCTGGGAGTAAATATTCACAATATGTGTATCTGACAGTGGGTTTGAATTCAGAGCATATATAAAGAACTTCGAAAACTCAAGAAGGCAAATAATAGATTTGAATAAACATTTCACAAAACTACATACACAAATTACCAACGAGCTCATGAAAAGATGCTCAATCTCATTAACTATCAGGGAAATGTAAAATAAAGCCAGAATGAAAAACCACTGCACACCCATTATAACTGCTGAACTTAAAATGTCTGACAGTCCCAAGCACTTTTGAAAATACTAACAATAGAAACTCTCATTGATTGTTGGTGAGGGATTCAACCACTCTAAGACTTGGCGGCAGTTTCTTAAAAAGTTAAACTTAGGCTTACCATATGTCCTAGAAATTCCACTTTTTGGAATTTTCCGAACAGAATTTAAAACATATTTTCTCAAAAATATTGGCATAGGAAAGTTCATAGAAATTTCCTTTATGATAGCCCCAAAGTTGATAAAAATCTAAATGTCCAACAAGTGAACTGATAAACAAATTGTGATGTATTCATACATTTTAAAGCTGCTAAGCAATAAAAAAGTGACAAGCTACTGATACAAACAGTAACATAGATGAATCTTAAAAAAATGAAAAAAAAATTGTATCTATAAAGACACCAGCCACAATTGAGTGTTTTCTGCATGATTGCATTTATATAAGTTCTAAAACAGGCAAAACTAATCTGTACTGATATAAGTTGAATCAAATCAGTTTTTGCCTGGCTTGAAAGTTGGGGTTTTTCTGATTGCAAAGAGGCATAATGGAACTCTCTCAGCTGAGGAAAACATTCTGTATCTTAATGAGGTAGTGACTCCATTGATAAATACATTTGTTGAAATCATTGAACTATATAGTTAAAAGATGTGTATCTTATTGTATGTAAATTATAGCCCAATAAGTTTTGCTAAAAATCAAATATCTAGGAATAAATCTAATTAAATACTTTCAAGACCTCTACACTGAAAATTATAAAATAGTTTCAAGAACATTAAAGAATAACTAAGTATAGGTATTACCATGATCATGAATGGAAACACTCAATATTTTAAGGATGTCAATTATACCCAAATTCATCTATAAATTCAGTGCAATCCATATGGAAATCTCAACAGCTCACTTTCTGTTGATGAGCAGACTTCAACCATGTGTATGAAAATACGAAGAGGTGGGCGGGGTGCAGTGGCTCACGCCTGTAATCCCAGCACTTTGGGAGGCCAAGGCGGGCGGATCACGAGGTCAGGAGATCCAGACCACCCTGGCTAACACGGTGAAATCCCGTCTCTACTAAAAATGCAAAAATTAGCCGGGCGCAATGGCAGGCGGCTGTAGTCCCAGTTATTTGGGAGGCTGAGGCAGGAGAATCGCTTGAACTCGGGCGGCAGAGGTTGCAGTGAGCCGAGATTGCGCCACTGCACTCCAGCCTGGGCGACAGAGTGAGACTGTCTCAAAAAAAAAAAGAAAAAAAAAAATACAAAGAGCCAAATATAGCTAAGACAGCCTTTTAGACGAAGAAAGCTCCAAAAAGTCCACTACTAGATATCAAAATTTAATACAATTATGAGTATGATATTGTCTCAAAGATTAAAATGTGTCTGTGTTTGTGTGTGTGTGTGTCTACCTTATATGGACCTGTGAAACATACCTACCTACACAGTTACCTAATTTATGATAAAGGTGACAGTTCAATGAAGTGGAGGAAGCATTTTTCTTTTCAAAAAGTGGTTTTGAAAGATTAGTTGGATATCCATACGGGGAAAAGATGTATATTGATTCCACCTTACATAATACATTTAAAAAAAAACTCAGTGGATTGCAGACCCAAATGGGAAAGGTAAAAATGTAATCCTAATGTAAAAAAACACAGGGGATCATCTTCATGACTTTGGAGTAAGCAGTTTTCTTAAACAGGACACAGAAAGCACTAAGCATGAAGGAAAAACATTATAGATTGCACTTTATTCATATATTTAAAAAAAAAAAAAAAACTTCTAGGCCTGGTGCGGTGGCTCATGCCTGTAATCCCAGCACTTTGGGAGGCTGAGGCGGGCAGATCACCTGAGGTCAAGAGTTCAACACCAGCCTGGCCAACATGGTGAAAGCCTGTCTCTACAAAAATACAAAAAATTAGACAGACATGATGGCAGATGCCTGTAATTCCAGGTACTCGGGAGGCTGAGGCAGGGTAATCGCCTGAACCCAGGAGGTGGAGGTTGCAGTGAGCCGAGATTGTGCCACTGAACCCCAACCTGGGCGACAGAGTGAGACTCTGTCAAAAAAACAAAATTGTTTATCATACAACACCATTAAAAGAATGTGAAAGCAACCAGCAAACTGGGAGAAGATATTTGCAACAAATATATCTAACAAATGACTCGTGTCCATAATGTATTATATAAAGAACTGTTAAAAATAAGTAAGAAAAGGAAAGATAATACAATGGAAAAATGGGAAAATATCTTAAAAAACAACACTTCACAAAACAGAACATTTAATAAAATAAATGTTCAATAATTTTTGAAAAGATGTTCAACTTCATTACTTTTTAAGAGAAATGCAAATTACAGCCAAAATGTGATGTCACTGAACACCACCCAGACAGTCTAAAATAATAAAGACAGAAAACAAGTATTTTACAAGAATGTGGTACAACTAGAGCTGGTACTACGGATTTGGAAAACTGACAGAATATAGTCAAAATCAGCATATGTATACTCTAAGGCTGAACAATTTCTCTCTAGATGTCCTAATCATGTGTTCATTGGTCTACCAAACAGCACTTACACATATATCTGTAATAGCACTTTAAAAATTGCCAACAATTATCAAATACCCCAATTTTTTTTTTAATCAGAGAAATGTATAAATTATATGTTTACACGGTGGAATATTATTCAACAATGAAAATGTACAAGTTGCAACTACAAGCAATATAGATAGGCCTCACAAGCATAATGTTAATAAAAAGAAGTCAGAGAGAAAAAAAGAGTATTTAATGTATAACTCCATTTATATGAGTTTAAACACAAGCAAAACTAATCTGTGATGTTAGAATTCTTGGTAGTAGCAGTCTTTAGTAAACACTGGAATGAGGATTTTACAGTGTTGGTAATGTTCTATTTTTCTTTGTTGTTTTGTTTTAAATGCTGGTTCAACGGTTTTACTTTGTGAAACTTCATTGAGCTATAAATTTATAATTTGGGCACATTTACATATGTATTTATACTTTATTGACTAAATGCAAAACAGATATTCTTCTTGTCATAGTAAATTGTTAAATCTAAAACAATTTTCACACTATAGGTGGGAATGTAATTTGGTACATTCTTTATAGAAGGCAATTTGACAGGAATTATTAGAAATTTTAGAAATATTTGTACTATTTGACATAGTTATTTCACTATTTACATTCTATTCTACAAAAAATAAATGTGTGAAAATGTTTATGCATAAAGATATTCATGGTAGTAAAACAAATATAACAGTAAAACAACGGGAAAAACAAAATATGCCAATATTGATTAATTATAATTGCCTTAAATAAGTTATTACCTATTCATATCATAGAGTTCCATAAAATGATAAAAATATGCTATAAAGGGATATTTAATGATAAAGAAAACTTTTCATTATTTATACTTTAAATAATAACAAATTAGATTAGAAAAATCATGATCAATGGGGTTCTAATACTTATACATACACATGTATAAACATGGTTTGTAACAGATAAAATATAATCATTCCTTATTTCTGAATATACTTACGTAATAGGATTAAAACAATTTCTTTTTTTTTTTTTTTTTTTGAGACTGAGTCTGGCTCTGTCGCCCAGGCTGGAGTGCAGTGGCCGGATCTCAGCTCACTGCAAGCTCCGCCTCCCGGGTTTACGCCATTCTCCTGCCTCAGCCTCCGGAGTAGCTGGGACCACAGGCGCCCGCCACCTCGCCCGGCTAGTTTTTTGTATTTTTTTAGTAGAGACGGGGTTTCACCGTGTTAGCCAGGATGGTCTCGATCTCCTGACCTTGTGATCCGCCCGTCTCAGCCTCCCAAAGTGCTGGGATTACAGGCTTGAGCCACCGCGCCCGGCGGATTAAAACAATTTCTACATATAAAACCACCAGAAACAAAAATATAAGTAAATACAAACTAGGAAAAATGTGCAGAACATATATCATGAATTCATTTTAACCTCATTTTTCCATGTCAGAAAAAAGTGATGATCAATTTCTATTACTTCTTTCACAAGTGTACTTACGATACAGGATAAGCTACTATAATATAGAGGCCCCAAACATACAATGGTTCAAACCAGAGGATTTCTTCTCTCAAACAAAAGTGTAGTTTTCTCACACAAAATAGTCCAGAGATAAAAAGGGTGTTTGGGGCCGGGCGCGGTGGCTCACGCCTGTAATTCCAGCACTTTGGCGGGCTGAGGTGGGCGGATCACGAGGTCAGGAGATCCAGACGATCCTGGCTAACACGGTGAAATCCCGACTCTACTAAAAACACAAAAAATTAGCCAGGCGTGGTGGTGGACGCCTGTAGTCCCAGCTACCCTGGAGGCTGAGGCAGGAGAATGGCGTGAACCAGGGAGGCGGAGCTTGCAGTGAGTCGAGATTGCGCCACT